ATGGTAACGTACTTTCAAAATGTTTTTACCTGCTACAATCTAATTAACTATTCTTATCTGGGCTCTTGATCAGTGTTAATATTTCACTCATCTGTGATCAGCAAATAAGTTTTGGAGTGGGCTGCTCCAAGGATATTATTTCCCACGAGCTTCAATGTACTTCAGTCATTTATCAAAAAGCTTGAGTGAGGACAAGGCATTCACGTTGGAGGATTGGAGAAAGGAATGGATAGCATATTCAAACGAATGGCAAGCGGGCACAGAGCATTACCCAGTGAAGGCCCAAGGCGATGCCCTTGCCCTTGCAAAAGATCTATACGTGAAGTACCTGAGATAAGAGTCATAAGACAACTATTTTAGGTTTTTCCTTGCTTTGACTTTTCTTTCCTGTTCTTTGTCAGGGAGAGGAGGTTAAAAATGAGATATCTCAGTTGTTTATCTGGAATGTAAAATTCTGAAACTTGTTGGAACTATTTGCAACATTTTAAATTTACTTGAAAGATTTGAGTTCTTAAAGAGAAACTTGGGCATAATATTTTTGGACAAATGTTGATGCTGCATGATGAATATGCACTCTTGATTGAATATTCTTGATTCTTTGCAGGTCAAAGTAGAAAATTTAGTGTTGTCCTTGCGTTGGCTAGGACTGGAAACTGAGAAGGATGGATTATGCAAAGGATTTTTTTTTTTTTTTGGTGCTTTGAAGTTGATCCCTTTGCTGACATAGCAGAGAACAGCTGAGACGAAGAAAAAATATATACATAATGTGATCATGTTCCAGTATGATTTTGTGGATTAGTCAGGGACCTCTCTGTTAAACCAAGATTAGTTAGCAGAAAATTTACTGTTGAAGTAAGCACATTTGTCTCTGCATAGTGCATACAGGAAAACTCTTTTTTTAGGGGAATGCAGGCAAGCTTTTGAATCCCAGGTAACAAATTCAAACAGCCTTGAAATTATCGAAAGCCAGAAGAATGTCTCCGATGGCATGAGGCCTTGGTTAAACCCCACAGTTATCCTTCTGGAAGTCAAAATCTTTAGGGCAGCACAAGCTACACAACTGCATTTGTCATTGTTTTCATTGGATTGTTGACAATGTCCCAATTCTACAAATATAGACAATGTTATTGTGGTTGATATACTTCTAACCATGTGGAATGGTATCAACTGATTTCAGTATGTTCCAAGATGTAGGGAATGTGAAAGTCTGAACCATTATATATAAAGGCTGTAAAATTGCCAGAGCAGTACTGCTTGGAAAGTAATAATGAAAATTTAAGCATGTAAGAACATATCCAAGTTAGATCCATTGAGAAGATATTGACATGTCAATTAGGATTAGGTGGAATGACTTGGAAATACCAGCAGTGGAGTTAAAAATAGAAACGGCAATGTAAATTTTTTTCAAGCCAGTTGAATGATCTACTACCTTTCAAAGACATAATAATACAGGTTCTTTTCTAGCTAGTCTGATGCATTTGAATTTTTGAAGAATGACTAATATATAATTAGTCAATATTTCAGTGTTCAATAATACCTCAGGGAGCAGTCAGGGGACTCATGGCCATGGGACCAAAAGAAAATGAAAGTGACAATAAAAGTCTTCAGCTGGAGCTGCGAGATTGTCTGGACGGATTTGGCGGAATTCAGTATTGGATGATCCATGTTCCCCTCCAGCAGCCCAGCCCACATTACCGAGGGAAATGTATCATTCAAACAAGCTTTCGGCCCCTCACATGATGATAATTTTGATAAATGATTTAGCTACATGATGATAATTCTGACAAATGACTCAACCTGCTATACAAAAACCTTATCAAGAATAGAAAACAAAAAAAAGCAATAATTCAAGTAAGTTACAGGAAAAATTAGCACTATAGAAGGAGAGAGATGAAGACAAAAGAAGAAGCCTTGAAGAGAGCATAAGAGGCAACCGAGCCATCAAATTAGGGATGGCCACAGGGCGGCATTGGGGTGGGGTCCCCTCTCCCACCTTGCTGCCCACTAATTTCCCCACCCCTGCCCCCACCTCGTCCCCCTACCCCCTCCCCTCGCTCCGCCTTGCTTCTTCCACGGGACTAATAAAAATTTATTATATAATTTTATTATAGTCAAATTTTAGCAAATAATTAAATACTAAAATATCAACACATTATCAAGTTATTATTTATTATAATTTTACAATTGCAACTCATAAAAATAATTAAACAAAAGTTATTTGAATACAGCCCAACATGATGAAACAAATACAACTAAAGTAGTTAAGTTCTCACTTTTAACACAAATACAATAACTAAGTCATTATTGTGCTTTTTTTTGAGAAAAAAGGGTTATTGTGTTAAGTATAATTAGGATTTTAGTATAAATTTATTAGCAAATTTAGTATAACTAATTAATAATTTTAATTAGTAGACATGTATAATTATTAGTATAATTGATAATATCCGTTATATTACATATACTAATATATAAATTTGTAACTAATTAAATTAAATATTATTTATATAATTAAATATATATATATATTTATTAATTTTTTTTACGAGTGCAGGGGGTATACTCCCTCACCCCCACCCTGTTTCTAAACAAGGGATTTTCCCTTGTTACCGCAAGTGTCAAATCCCCCCGCCCCGCCCCGTTAGCCCCCCACACCTTACCCAGTTGCCATCATTACCGCAAGTGTCTGCATCAAACTAAAGTCAAAGGTGGAGGAAAAATTCAACAGTATTTTAGTCTGTTACAGGCCAATCTAAACACTTCTTAGATTACAGCAATTATAAACACTTTATTCTAGTAGTAGTATTTGTGCCACAGTAATTAGAATTTTCTCATATAAATAATTAGATTAGGATTCTTTTGTTAACAAGTCTATCTTTCCATCTATCTTTTGTTAATTAATATTACAAGGCCTCTAAGTATATTCTGTGTCCACAGTACTCATTTCAGGTGTTAAAACCATTTAGGAGAAAAAGAACTTTTTGAATTTGAACGTGCCTAATGAAATTGAGAAGTAATTTTAATATAAGAAAAGATAAACCTATTATGAGTGACTGAGAAAATCCTTGCTTGGCTAGGAATTACCCCTACTTTTTTTGTTAAATCAAGAACCACTTCACTAGAAAACTTTAGAGAGAGATTTAAGAAATAGATTTTAAAGTAATAAAGAAAGAATAAAATAAGAGTTAATAGGAGTTTGATCCTTCGCAAAATTTCTCTTCTCATCCGTCACCTTCACACAGGTTCGGTACTCAGAGTCGGACACCTCTATAATACTAGTAATAGTTCACATGCATTGCACGTGATTGTAATATCTTAAAATATATTATTCTTTAGATACTAAATTTTTTTATGAAATTTTGATCATCAACATCATAATATAGTATTTTTATGTTATTTATTTTTTTTTAAGCTAGTTACTTTTAAAAATTTATTAAATCAAAAGAGAGAGAAAACATTCCAATGTAGTTGATGTATCCCTTAGGATTGAATTTGGAATCATGAACCAAACACTTTTTGATTTACAACTTGAACTCTAACATATCAAATATTGATAATATCATATTTTATCAAAATTATTGTATATTCATGATTCTATTGCATATAAACCACAATCATCACAATTTTTTTGTAAATGAAGAAGGTAATTAAGTTAGAAAAATAAAAATACATGTAATTTGAATTCTTTGTATTATGTTAATTCTATTTTTGTCAATAATGGAGTATAAATGATCCACCACATAAAGTTTTTTTGGCTTGTACATTAATTGAAATTTTATAGATAGAGATAGTTGGAGTTTTTCTATTTTCCTTTTCCTTTATTCATGTTTTTAGTACAATACAATGCAAAGCAAAAGCAACAAGTCTACTTTTTTCATATGAGCACAATATTTTTCGTTTTAGTATTAGTTTTTTTCATGATCATGGAATTGGAATGAGAATTGTGACTAATTAATAATTTAATATTAATTTTTTGTATATTGCGGTGTTTTATATTTTTAATTGCCAACTTTTAATCCATAACCGCTATCATTATTATCAATTATTGGAATGCACTAAATCTGTCTAATTGCAATTGTCACCATAAATGAAATTTACTTAATTTTAAAGCTTTTCATTTCATAACCGCTTCCATTATTCACTAATAGTGCAATACAATAAATATATGTAATCATTAGAAAAATAAACATCACCAAAAAAAATTTGGATATCATTTTCATTTTATCATTTATCATTTTAAATTTACTCTTATTATAATTCTTATTTTATCATTGGAAATTGCTTCTGACTTGATGGATGGATTTGGTTTACCAGTACAAATGAAACATTACTATATTATTGTCAATAACAATGTTTGTCTTCCCCTGGATATCAATGATTTGGATGTCATCTTTAGTATTATTTGAATTGTATTCTAGCTTTTTAATTCATTTGCTATTTACTTGATGTCATTTTATAAATAGTTTTCATATTTTTATTTTAGGTTTTCTTGTTTTGATCAGTTGCTATTAATGATAATAGTAATTTGTATAGTGCTATTTCAGATTTCTTTTTTCTAGTTTAATACTGCTATTTCAGTTTTAAAGGTGTCATCATTTTTTGTATATTGAAATTCCATTGGGTGCTACATGAAAAATTCTTCATATTGGTAAAAAGTGCATAATTGTCAAATTTACTCGTGATATTTGTATGAAAATATACAAATGAATAGGGGTTCTCTTGTCCTTATATATTTCTCCATTTTTTAGAAATTATCTATTTTTTTAAATTGATTTTTTTTTGGAAAAATGGTCATTTTCGCTCCTAAGCTTTTTTTGTCTGTCAATTTAGTCCCTAACTTTTATTTTTAGCCAATTTAATACATGAATTTAATTTTCGGATCCAATTAAGTCCTTCTACGACGGCGCCGCCACCTAAAAATAATTTAGCTCCTAATTTAATATTAAATAAGGACATTTTGAGAACTTTGAATTATCTCCTCTCCACTACCAGGCTCCGCCACCAACCACCCGCCTCCTCCTTTATGATCAGCGATTTTGGAATGTCAGCAACACCAGTAATCCACACTTTGGCAATTTGGCAACAATTTGGCAACCCCGGCGAGGCCCCTGCAATCTCAAGACCCCACCAAAGAAGATGAACCACCACCACTGCCACCCCAGCAGCTGCCCCTCTCACCACTACCACAGCCACAACCACCGCTTCAACTACCCCAAGAAAACCAACCTTCCACCTGCGAAATTTGCATCAAACCCATAATTTCACCAACCCAATTATTCAAAAGCCCAAACAATGAAAAATGCGGGCCCCACCCATTCTGCAAATTGTCAACCATAACAACTATAGTACCAAAGTTCTTCCATGGCGGTAAAAATCACAAAAGCCTCAAGTCTCCAAGAGTGGAATCCCATGTTTGAAATAGAAGCCTAGCCACCTTAGGCATGCATGTTTAGAGTAGAAATAGGAATTCCCTCTTCCAAACTCACTGACACAATAAGACAAAATCAGAGCATCTCAAGGAAGGCTGAAGAGTTAACGAAGGCAGAGGCAGCAGCCAAGTTGAGGGAGCAACGGCGACTAGAGGAGAAAGCTAAGGCTCTGGAGGCACTGGAGAGGAAAAAGAGGATCGCAGAGAAAGCGCAAATGAGGGCTGAATTACGAGCACAGAAAGAAACCGAGCTCAGAGACAAGGTAAGAAATTTTGAATTTCCAATTCATGTGCCTGAGTAAGTGTGCTTTTCTTCACTTGGCTTTCCATCAATGACGTCCGTTTGATTTGTCTAGGAAAGGGATAAGAGGTTGAGGAAGAAGGAGAGAAAGAAGGCCGGTGGAGCAGAAGTTCCCGATGGAAACGATATTGGGGAATGCACTCCAAAATCTGAAATCGTACCTGGAACAATAAAGGAATCTGAGGTTAAGTACTGTTTTCCTACCGTTACCAAAAGATCTCAAAAACCATCAGTTGTGGTGAAGCAAAGCAAGACAAAATCTATCCCTCCGCCACTTAGGAACAGAGGTAAAAGAAAAATGCAGCAGTGGATGTGGATAATTTTGACATGCGTGGTTGTTATTGCTCTGTTCTTGCTAGGAAACATTGGCTTCTTCTCCAATCTTTCAAATTTTAGGCTGCGGAGCCATAGTAATCCCTCCGCCGGTGGATTACTGGTGTTGCTGGTATATCCAAAATCGCCGATCATGAAGGAGGAGGCGGGTGGTTGGTGGTGGAGATTGGTAGTGGAGAGGAGATAATTCAAAGTTCTCAAAATGCCCTTGTTTAATGTTAAATTAGGAGCTAAATTACTTTTAGGTGGCGGCGCCACCGTAGAAGGACTTAATTGGATCCGAAAATTAAATTCATATATTAAATTGGCTAAAAATAAAAGTTAGAGACTAAATTGACGGACAAAAAAAGTTTAGGGACGAAAATGGCTATTTTCCCTTTTTTTTTTTACAATCTCAACTAATGACTAATGAGAAAATTTTCATGCTTCAATTAAGAAATTTTGAAACGTATAATAATAGGAGATGGAGTCCAAGAGTAGGTAAATAGTTTTTAATGAGCAATTTTTAATTATAATTACCAATACTACTAAAATGTAATCAATTGGAGTGTTTTATTTCTTTTAATTAGTGCCACGTTAAAATGAAATAATTCTAATTAAAAGACATGAGGGTAATTTAGGGATAACAAAAACTAAGATAAAAAAGTACTTACACTTACACTTACACTCCCCAATACCAACATTTATACTTTGTATATAGTAATGATAATGATATTCGAAAACTATTTTTCCCTCACCTGACTGGTGATCATAAAGACAAGAAAGGAACTAACAGATTTGTCCTTGAAGGAGAGCCTGTTAAGTTTGAAGTATCAGCTTTGGTTCTTGATGTCACTATGTCATTGTTCAAAAATGGCAATTACATAAAGGAACCAGATGCATGGACCACAGAAAAGATAAATAAGCCCACTAAGTACAGAGCTATGAAAAAGAGATTGAGTTTGCAACTAATCACCACCTATAAAATTTACAGTTTCATCCATATCTTGCGGTATTTTTGGATATTAACAAGTTGTTTACATTTGACCCGAAAAGGATAAGAAAAAAGTTGGAGCAATGTCACACCAATTCCATTAGTAAAGGATCACCTGCGGACATCAGTTTTATCAACTTCAGAAAATCAGACTCATTGGAAACTATCCACGGATGCACTGCAGGTACGTGAGCAGAATAAAAATCCTGGGAATCTATAGATGAAGCTTCTGTCTTGTAGATCATTTTATTCAGCACAGAATCAAAATTTTGAGGCACATCCATTGCCATGAAGAACACAGGCACCGCAATCTTGTGGTGAATGTCAAGATCGCCCACAAGATCAACAAGATCAATGAAATCCTGAACAAATTTCCGAGGCACGTAAAACACTTCAGAGCCACAGAAAGCAAGGCTCTGCTCACTCGGGTTGCTTCCCTTGTAATTGACCTGAAGATGAGCCGGCATTGTACTTACAACTTTCTTGACCATGTCTGCTTGCTTCGAAAACCAAGATAAATTCTGGTCAATGGCTGTCCTTGAAGTAGGCACCTGGAATTTGGTTAGGAAAGAGACAGAGAATGAGCAAATGGTGATTGGGAGTCCGAAACGTAGGGAAAACATTGTTTGGGCTCATACTACCTGGTTTGCAATCCACAGTTTTGATCTATCTGCTTGCACCAGATGCCAGTAGTTTAAGATTGTATTGTCGTGAAGAAAAAGGAACCCTTCTGTACTATTAAACCTGTAAAATATTTTTGGCAGATATCTGCAATTTAACTGAGCATTAGCAAAACAAAGGCACCAACCATGGACTCTCAGCACACTCAAGAGGCCAACTTTCAGCATGGAAAAATGGATAATCCAATACAAGATCTCACTCTAAGAGAAATGTATAATAAACATGCAAATGAAAGATAAATAGGAGTACGGTAATTGACAGCCGAGCGAAAGGTAAAAAAAAAACAAAGACTGCCAATGCCTACTCTTGCCTTTCATCGCATATGAAATTGAGGAAACAGAAAAAAAGGAAGCTTCCTAGCTTCAGTACCAGTTAGCTAGTTTCCTACTTTCTGGAAATTTTAAAAATTCTATTCAAAAAGCACTGGTCAATATTACAATCATAGATCAAACCTTATTAAAATTGCTGAGAATACCTATATGATCTACTTCAATGCCCTGTATAGGATTTTACAGTGGTTCATTTAGATCCAAGTTTCTCTCTCTTTTTTCTCAAGCATTATGGACTTTCAATAAATTTTCTGTTTGCTCTAAATAACGTTGGAATGACTTTCAATAAATTACTGTTAGTCACCATGACTTGAGGAGCTGTAGTCTCACATACCAATGTGTTAACAGCATGATCTCTAAAACGAAAAACCCATCATAATCCCAATTGTGTTGAAATTCCATGAACTGGCAAGGAAGAAACTAAATCAGCTAACTACTATAACATGTTTTACCCACCCCACCCCCCTCCCTGCAACTATATTCAGGTAAATTCTTTTATGTCTGGAATCCTTTTGGGAAAAGAAAAAGTGAAGGATAATGACATCTTATTAGAATAATCAGTCAAATGCAAATCAAGGATGATTATACAACAACTAGAATATTATTCCACTTAAAAGTGTTGCTTACAAGAAGTCATTAATAGAATGATAAAGGAAGAAAAGCTATAACGAAGCTTCAAAATATTAAGAGTTGGAGGGATTCCATCTGTTTAGCAAATAAGAATGTATTCCTCAAGATCAATATCCGTTTCCTTTCCTGTTCATTTGCCATAGGAGATTCAATGTCATTGAAATGATTTGATGTTCTATATGTAAAACAAAGTCTTTTTTTTCCCCCTTTTTCTTAGGCATAGTAGGAAAACCAACAGCAAATCCCCAGAGCTTAATGATCATGCACCTATCGTGCTCTGCTTATTGGATAGCTAACTAGTTTGACATGAAACCAGACAAGTACTCTAGAGGTTCACTTATTATTCAAGTGAGACATGATATGACACTTTAATTTTCTCATTTCACTTTATACGTCAAAGCCATAGCCACTATTGTAAAAGGTAATATCATTTTCACTGAAGGAATCTAGAAAAATCTGAGCTATCTACTAATAACGTACACCAACTCCTACAACATACACCACCAGGGCTACAATCCACGATTGCCCCTCCCATCTCCAATTGCCCCAACACCTAACTAAAAAAGGAGAAAGAGGAGAGTGAAGAAATGCCAGCAGCTATCAGAAATGTGTGATTGAAATTTTTTCGTTTCTTTTTCCATAGCTTTCCTATATGTTCCTAAATAGCATATTATTTTCACAGCATGAAGATGATTCACAGTCCTATACTATACAGCCAAAATTGGTATTTATCAGCTGTGCTATTGTCCGACGGCATCAAGTGAAAATTTTGATTTTAACTCTTGTTTTCTGTGAGCATATGATTTGGCAACCAACTATATGTACAAGGGAATATTTAATTCGAAAACTCCTAAGACTTAAAGGCATCAGTCTGCGACTCTTAATATTCCTTAGTTCGGCTACACGGAACATGATAGGAATCCTAAAGCAAGACACTTTTCATGTCAAAACCTCTTTCACAAACAAGTAAAGGTTTAGTGACTGTGCAATGCTGCCAAACTTCATAATTAAGGATTGTGCATGAACTAACTTAAGAAGCCAGAATTCCTTCCTTACAACAGGATCGTGCATGAACTAAACTGAGACACCAAAATTTCTTCCTTACAACAAGATAAAAGAAGGCAAAATTTCTTCATTATGACAGGATTCAATATTAAGAATGTACCATTCTTCCCCTCTTTTTTCTTTTAACTTTTTCTAGAATGTTTATGGCTGGCTTTACCTATGGGAAATACACTTCTAAAAATTGAAGTGTTATCTTGAAATGCTTCAACATGTATTCTCAAGCAAAGTTCTCTCATCTTTTGAAACATAACAACAAGATTGATCTTTGATATTCACTGTTTTCATGCTATTGCTGCTTAGTCGTATATTCTCCGAAATGGATCCATCTTTTATGTTAATTTATTTGCCTTGATCATTACCATTAGTAGCTTCATCACATCTATGAGATGATAAATAGAAGTTTAACCATGTAAACAATCAGAGTAGTCAGCCAGATAAACGAAGCACTCTGAAGCAGAAACAACTGAAAATCTTGATTGGAATAATATTCAATAAGGAAGCATGTAAGCAGTAATGAGATAATGTGATTCAAAATGTCGTCTACATACTTGTATAGTTGGTCCAATTGCCCTTGTCCAATTGCAAGATCTGCATCAGCCTGGTTTGATAGAATAACCACTGTTTTGAATATTCTGCCATAAAGCAATCTCCATTCTAAAGCAGTTTGTTGGACAGGTCCACTGACAAACATAATTAGCACCACATTACCAAAACTCTTCCTCCATCTAACTAAATTCCCTATTTCATAATTCACTGTTCCCGACTCCTCAACTCCAAGATGCACAGAAGGTAGTTTTCGAGGGACAAATTCCTTTCTATCTCCAGGGACGATTTCTCCCTTTTGTCCATCCAATTCAATTTGGAATATGCTTGGCTGCTGATATCCAACAGAAAGCAAATCTTGCAACCAAGCAGCAGTATATTTGACATCATTTTCCCCCCAGAATCCTTCTTCAGCCATGGCATAACTCAAATCCAAAATCTTCTCAAATAACCTATGCTTTTCAGATCTCCAAGAAATCAAGAACTTTATTAAACGGCCTACATTTACATGAAGGTCTTTCTCCTCGGAAAAAGGGTATGCTTCAAGTTCATCATTTCTATGAACTGTTGGAGGATAAACCACAACATAACCACCAATTTCCCACAACAACCTTTGTCCCCAGTAGCCCCTTGAGACATCAGATGCCATCTTGCTAACAGAGACGGGAAGCATCAAGGACCAAAATGCATTATAATGAAACAATGTATTGAATGAATTCACCGGCACCATCATACCTCGAGGCAATGCAACTTTAGGAGCATGTTCGTCAAACTCTATATCGAATGTTTCCAACCCTGCTTTTCTGGTCGAATAGAATACCGAATCAACATCGGGTAATCCATTGCTTATTCCCTGCTGTATGTACTGCATTCCTCCAGACACTTCACTGTAAAACTCCTCGTGATTAACTTCACCGACATTTTCCAATGGCAATCCTCTAGGCCAAACTGATCTCTGTCCAAAATGAACGTAAGGATTCACAGCAGTCCTATTCGCAGTTACATGACTATACTGCAAAATCCTCTGCTCTTTTGCTATATCTCCATCAATCTCCAAATCAAAATGCTTCCCTATCTCCCCACCTATCACTTCCCCGCGATCATCAGCATCA